CTCCTCTATCATTGACGATATCAATAAGGTCGACCTTCCTCATCCGCAAAGCTTCAGGAGGAAGGTCAGTGGCCTAAGCAAGACCAGGACACACAGCTCATACAACTCAAACGCTACAGACCTTGCACAGATACTCCACATAGGGCACCACGATCGCCGCGGTTGCCAAAGAAGATATATCAGCAGCTTCCCAAAAAAGGATTGCAAGCTTCCCAGGAGTTGCAGAAGCGGCAGCAGCAGCATCACCAGCAGCAGCATCAGCAAAAGGGGCTTACATTATCGTCTGTGCAGACACCCACTAGATGGTTACTCGTGATCGAAATCTTTGCCCGCGAGAACTTCTCCGACTGTGCGCAAAAGCCGAAACTTCAAACGCTAGACCCTGGATTCTACCATCAGAAATGTCGACGGAGGAGGCTGTATGTTTACCTCCCTACCTCATATTGCGTGCGAAGACGGGGATAAGCATTCCATCTGAGCAAAACGAAACCCTCATATTCAGAGCTTCATTTCGCAAATCTGGTGCGCAAAGCTCAAGCACCAAATTGCGGGAAACTATCTGTGCATACGGAATGTTCAACCCCAGAGCTGTGATGTATAAAACTTAAACTCACGATTTCTCGTCAAAGGTGCAACTCCCTCTGTCCACAAATTTAAGAAGCCATCCTGGCAACTTCCTGCGCAAAAGCCGTGAGCAGTAAACCCAAGGTGTGGACTGGCGAACCCAAACCCTGCCGCCAAACAGTGAACCGTGCCTGCGGCCCACTCTTTTGCCCTACATGTGCTTCCACGCCCTTTAGTCTCGAGCGAATCACTCTGTAATTTGCACAATCCCTGAGAATCTGAGCAATTCTAATGAAACCTCTACGAGGAATTAAGGTTCAGGGTTTGCCGTACTCCGCAAGGTCAAAGCGCTTGTGTGTGTATTGCCCCTGTTCGCCATTATTGCTGTAGTCTTCGGTCGCAAGTACTTCTATCATGGGGGCTTTGGGGGGTCCCCCTGTCGCTTTCTGCGCCTCCGCAGTCTCCAGCGCCGCCAGCGCCACCAGAAATATCTGACAGCGCCGGTACTCCTGCAGCGGCAGCAGAAGAGAAGCAGCAGTGACGTCAGCAACGGCAGCGAAAAAGCAGCAATATGATCACCGGAAGAGGGAGCAACAGCACAATCAAAATTGAGAACGGCAAAAATCCCGGTGACAGGGCAAATGCAGGGTGCCCCAAGACGTTCTTTGGGCCTGCTGTCTGAAGTTGCTTCACGAGGTCACCCTAGAACGGCTTCAGCGGAGGCTCTCTAGAGAAACTATAGCTTGAAATTCTTAAGATAGGGCTCTGGGGGGCCTCTACATGCGGAGCTTGCTTGAAAATACCTCTGGAGTTAGGGGAAGGACGAGGCGAAACTCGACGACCTTCATTTTACCCAGAGTGATGCCAAGAGGGCCATGAAGAACAAAGCTATGGGCCCGCCAGGTTCAGCCAAGCCGGCCTCTAGGCCTGGGGGCCCGCGAAGGACTCAGTGATGTATGCACACTATAGGAAAGGCGGCAAGTGTTGGGCAGCGAGCAGAAGCCTGTAAACAACTAGGGGCCCACAGACAAGGCTGTTTATGGCTGCTAGCTAGCAGGCTCCGTGGAGACTTGCTCAGCCAGACGGCAACCAACAGAGGCCTCCTGGAGGGCCCTTAGGAGAAATTCAGCGTCTTGCTGCACAGCCCTTAGTGCAGCATGTCGGCCCCCCGAAGAGAAGTGACTGTGTTCATGAGAAATATGCTATTTTTGACACTAATTTATCAAACGTAAGCGCTCGAAAACGAGGAATTTAACATTTCGCTCGCGGGGCCCTCCAAACCTCACCTCAGCGACTTCTGGGGGGCCCCTGGTCAGACCGGTTGCTGCTAACGAATGGGCCGTCAGCATTTCTGGAATAGCCCTCAGTTTATTCTTATCTGTGTCATTACTCATCTTCGCTTTTGAATTAGATGGCAGGGACCGCCTGTCAAGAGCGTTATGCAGACTGGGGGGCCCTTCTGGGTCCCTAGTTTGCGCTTTTGGAGATTCTGCGAAGGCGGCCTGCTACGTGCTGCCATGTCTCTCGTAGCAGTTAGGCTACTTTCACGAGAAGTTCTTTTCTGTATGAGAATTTGGATACTGTTCTGTGTTGTACTAGGGGCTAATCAGGGGTTTGCGCAACTGGAAATTGAGAAGCTCGGGCGAGTCTGCGCAGAAAAAGGAGCTGGAGACCAGGAGGGCCAAGGGCACCAGTCTAGGATATAGCTTAGTAGCAGTTTGTGGTCTCAGCGGGGTAGCTCTAGAGAGGATTCAGAGACTTCACCGCTTCGCCGCTCACCAGTATCAATCTGAGCCACTTTCATCCCCTAGAACATTAGAGAAGCCCTATTTATTGAACATGCTTAGTGCTGATCGCTTGTAGGATTCTAGCAACTGAGGCTGCGGTCGTTGCCCTGGAAGAACGCCTCCAACGTTCCATATCAGGCGCTTGTTTTTGTGCGCACGGCACTGCTTCAAGGGCCACCTTACCTACGGTATTTCCTTGCCTGCATTGACCCATGGGCTGCCTCTATTTTGAGTCCTCATTGTAGTTCCTTGTAAGGCACAGTTGTGACTGCCCCAAGTGGCAGCTGCAACTGCAACAGCTGACTACAGTAAGAGGCTGGAATTTCGGGAATTGGCTACCGACGTGGGGCGACGGGGGCCACTAATCGAAGGGTCCGAAATATTACTGAGAAAAGTATATGATTAAAATCGGGCTCCGGCTAGAGTTAGGTTAGAGAGTTGTCTTTGGCCTTAAGGGAACGGCTTTACGCCTGACAAGGATGACTGCGATAAAAGGACGCACGCAAGGACATCTGTAAAACAGTGATTGCCATGAGGGCCTCTCCCAACGCCGGCAACGAAAAGAAAGGATAGTGGAGAGGCAACGTGGAAGCGGGGGCTTCTGTAGTCCGGGCGATCGAGGACGCGCTTCTTGCAAGAAGGAGGCCGTTTCTCCAAAGAAAACGGGTAATGCAGAGTCTCGCCAATAGAAATCCGAAGCGCAATATTCTGTGCTCCGAAAGGTGTAACACTAAGCATTTGGCGAATGTCTGCGAGCATCAAATAGGGGCATTGTGAAAGGAGTACACGCGCAGTGCCGATTCAACCTTGTGGTTCTGGCTTATTCTAGCTTCTTTATCATGGGATTAAGTGTGAGTGTGGGTTTGGCCAGAAAGTTTGACAGCTTGTAGATTCTGGAGTACTCGGAAAGCAGAGCAAGTTAATAACTACACATAGTCGACGTTAAGACAAATTCAAGTAGTACTGGTATGAGGAAGGGACGCCAAGTTAATAGAGTCATGAAGTGCTGCTCCTATGTGCTTTGAGGGGAAACATATACATGAATGGGATTATAGTGCTTAAAGGAAACTTCCATAAATCCTTTAACTGCTTTTTGTTCGCCGTTTTATCTGAGTGTGTTTGAGGTATTGAGAACTTTTTAGCCATGAAGAGTGTGCCCATGTTGATCTCCAGCACCCCCACATGTCCACAACCCATATTACCTGGTTCTCGTATCCACAAGGAGCCCATTCTCCTCCTGAGCAGTGGCTGATAACCAAGATAAGCACGACAGACGGTCATCTGGCGCTCCTCTTCCAGAAACTTATCTTTGAACGAGTTGCTTCAGGAACTAGGTAGAAACTTCCCGGTTGCTGGAAGTAACTTGCTAATGTTCTGTGACTGTTTCGCAACGTCACCATGGTTCCAGTTGTTTCAGATTTTAAGTGAATAGTTTTCGCTTGCTGAAATTGCCCGGATAACTCCGTTCTGTTGGCGGTCGCTGCCGCGACACTGTGCAGAGGAGCCCTTGCTCTACTTGAGGTCACCATTATCTCTGCTGCTCCAAATCTACCTCTGCTGGCACCCAGTGTGCCTAGCTAAAAGGATGATTTGGCAGTCGTTTTTGGCACAAGATTGTTTCTGCTTGTGTTATCGTAGCTATGCCGCTTGCAGTTCAAGAGCCCGGTCCTATTCTAATTTATAGTTCTCCCGTTGTACAACTGTATGTGCGTGTCTTGCTCCGTCCCAGCGTGCTGCTCCACCAGGTAGATCTAACTTGACTAAAGTGTCAAGTACGCAGTTGAAAAATTCCCGCAAAAGCCCTTACTGAAGTTAGCTGCGTCTGTCTAGCCCTAATACGTGTCATCATGAGCAGCTAACTTCGGAGCTCCTTTAGGCAGAATACTACGTAAATCTAAATGTATAGTTTAAAGGCTAACACAATGTTAAAGAAGGCCATGACTTCCTGTACCTCCAAGCGGAACTAGCTTTTCCCCAGTGCGCCCCTGTGATGCAGAATGGAACATTCAGCCCCAACGGTGGCCCTGCAGCTAGGCCATCTGCTCATGGGCCTTTATCGGGCTCGCCCGTCTCTATAATGTACACATACAACTGGAATGTCGCGCTATTAGATCCCTTTGCCATTAATATTGAGCATGTCCCTAAGCACTGTAGTGCCCAGCACTACACCAGGCGGGCCACTGCCCCACGGAAAGCCTCGGAAGCTCGCAATTGTTACAATAGATCTAATAAGCAATGTCTTTATTTGCGCGATTAATGCAACTTCTGCGTCTCTACTCCAGTCTGTCATAACTGTCGTGACCAGACAGTGTCCCCAAGATGATAGCCGAGCTCCACACAAACCCTTCTACAGTCCTAAGTCTTTGAAGCCTTATTTTGCCACAGGAGAGCTCGGCTTTCTTTTTTCTGGGAATTTCGAACGCAATCTTGTTAAAAGAGGATTCCCGTAGAGCGCCCTGCTCTCCGTTGTCAGGACAGCCCCTCCGCCGATTGAACGCTCATTACATCAGGTCCCTTTTTAACCGCAGAGTGACTCCCAAAAAATATCTGGAGAGAAGCATTCCGCTCAATAAGAGCTAAGGGCACAGGGCCCTCGACGCCGCATGCTGCTGTCTTTGGAGGGCCAGCGGCTGGCCGCACAGTGGAGCCATGCAGCAGCCGCAGCAGAACCAACAGCACTTACCAGGGAGTGCAGAAACTCAGGCTTTGTGGCAGCAGCACCTGCAGCAGCAACGACTGCAGCAGCAACAACTGCAGCAGCAACAACTCCAGCGGCAACTACAGCAACAACTGCAGCACCAGTATGGGTTCCCGGCGGCCATATCTCCACAGGAAGCTGTCCTGCAGAATGACCAATCACTTTTGTTTCTGCAACAGCTGCACGAGCAACAGCAGATGCAGCAAAATACGCAACACCAGCGGCACCATTTGCAAATGCAGCAACAGATGCACATCCAGCAGCAGATGCAGCAACAGCAGAAAATCCAGCAGCAGCGGCAACTGCTCCACCAGCAGCAGCTGCAGTCACGCCATGCTGCACTGCAGCAGCAGGAACAGCAGCAAATGCAAGCACTGCAGCAGCAGCATCAACAGCACATGGAGCGGATTGCCAACCCCCCTGTTTCTGTGGAATCTCATGGACTTCCCCAGGAGCAGCAGCAGCTGCCACAAGCGCACGAGCCACAGCAACTTCAGCAGAAGAGCAAAAGATATTGGCATGATATAGTTGTAGATACTAGTGAGAAGGTGGCGCCTCCCCTTGGGGAGCGACAGGTGGCCCCCGATGCTATTGACGAGCTGCCGGCCCCTCTTTCAGGCTCTGCTGCTGCTGCTGCTGCTGCTGCACTGCACCCCAGGAAGACAGACATGCGTGCTTTTCTGCGTCGTCTTGGAGGACGATATGTCACAGAGGCGGGGGAGAAGGAGGCAGCTGTAGTGTCCGAGCTACAGAGGCTGCAGCAGGAGCTGAGCCGAGTTCACTTGCTTATGGGGAAAGGCGCCCCTTTGCAGCAGCAGAAGGACCCTCCCAAATGCCTGTGCGGCGCACCGTGCTTGGAGGCTGCAGTTTCCGCTGCTGCTGCAGGAGCTGATGTTGCTGCTGTGCTGCAGCAGCAACAACAGCTGCCCCTTCACGGGGACACCATTATGTCCGAAATGGCAACGTTTCAGGACCTGGTCAGCGACGAGCATAAAGAGAAAAGGAAGGGCTTTCGGAACTTCGCAGGTAAATTGCTGAGGCCTGTGTGTCCTTTCAGACTCCCTCACCTAGTTTTGGTGTTGCTGCAGCTTCTTTCAACTACTATTTCTTCAAGCGATGCTATAGGGTGCCGGTGCGGCTGTTCCTTTTGCGTTGACAGCAGCAGCAGCAGAGTAGCAAGCCCAGTGCTGCAGCCAGTGTTTGCTACATCTGCAGGCTTGTGCAAACGCCATGTGGAAAATCACGCGAAGCGACGGGATCAGCGCCAGGAAGAGCTGGAGCGTATGGGGAGGCAGCAAGCAAAAGTTTTAAGCGGCGCTGTTTCTTCGTTTTGGGGCAAGGTTGAGCACATCGTCTGGGAAGACCAGAAGAGGACTCTTCAGTCTCAACTACAGCAGCAGAAGGAGAAGAATTTTGATAGATTTGTCAAGAGAGCTCTGAGGGTGTCAAAGGCTATTGCAGGAGGCATCCGACGGGTACATTTATTTCGCCATCTTATCATTTCCTTCTATTCGAAGTCACGGGCCGACAAATGCTTTCTGAGCTGGCTTTGCTTTTTCTTGGCGCTGTTGTGCTGCAGTGACTCCGTAGAAACAGCAGCAATATGCTGTAGTGTGAGAAACTCTAAATAGACGTGTTTCTGGGTTGTATGCTTAGAAACGCAGCATGCTTGTGATTGCGTGTGCTAGGATGGGGGAGCCTGTGGCGCATCTTTGGATGAAATAGCCAGCGCGGAACAGGATGAGATACCGCAGCCGCAAGAACAGGATGAACAGCCGCAGCAGCTTAGGCCGCGTCGGCGACCGCAGTCACCCCGTGGCGTGAAAGAGCCCACAAGAAGTACTAATGATAGAAAAGGACCTGACGCAGAAGAACAGTCCTCAACCGCAGCAAGAGCAGCGGCAGATGAAGATGATGATTTTGATGCGTCAGGAGAGCAAGCTGAGCAGCAAGAGGCGGAGGACATGGAGCTTGATGCTGAGCTGGAGCGAGAAGAAGACCTAGAAGGAGGAGCACTTGATGGGCAAGACAATGATGAGGCGGGGGATCTCATGAAGGAAGCCGAAGAGCCGCTGGAAGAGCTGCTGAAGTGCGGCGTATTGTCGTGCAGGCACATTCCATTACATGTTTTATCGCTTCCATCCGTGTGTGGCCTTCTTTGGCTAAACTGTTTGTAGGCCGTGTCTTCCCTGCTGCCGATCTGCACACCCAGTTGTGACGTTCTTTTCTTTCGGACCCCCCTGGCTTTCGTGGGATATATTCAAGCTCCGTCATTTTGCTGCTACTCATGCCAGTTGCCCTGTTTGCGAACACTTGCTGTGCGGGACTGCTAATCAGGCGTTACGGCTATGCAAGCGTAGCTGACTTCCGCGTAAAGGGCAGAGAGGCCCCTAGTAGTCAAGAGGAAAGTGGGTCATCGACTTCCTCAGAAGATGAGCAAGAAACAGCGCCGACAGAAGCAGTAGCCACGCAGGACGACGCTGACAGCAGCACGGCTGGAAATGGAGAGCCGGAGGCTCCGGCAGAGCCACCCAGCCCACAGGAGGCAACGGCAAGTAGCAGGCCCCGTCGGGCTGCCAGCCGCCGTGTGCTGCAGCAATTTGCAGAGCAACAGAAACAGCAGCAGGAACAAGAACAACAGAAACAGGAAGAAGAAGAAGAGTCTCCTGAAGGTGGCGAGAGGCTTCAAGCCCTCATAGCTGAAAGGGAAGAAGAAGATGCAAAGCTGGACGAAGAGATGCCTTCAAGCGACAGTCAGTCCGACGCAGGAGCGGACGATCTCGCGAACGATGCAGAGATTCCTTTAAGTGAAGTTCTGAAGTAAGCACGCCTTCACAGACCTAGGCACCCGTAGCCGTAGAAGCCCTTGCTGAAATTCAGTGTTTGGTTACGGGAAGCGGGCTAGAGATTCAGTAGTAAAAGTAAGGCCATAATGTCGTTGCTTTTAGTTAAGAAGGCGAGTGGCCAGCAATCGCCGAGGTAAACGCGTCTTGAGAAGTGGTTCATTCGGACATTTACCCTATTTCCATTAGGTAGTCCACCTGTGCCTCGAGAGGATCGGCAATTTCTCTGGTTTTGTTTCGCAGGAGCTATGGATTCTCATCAATGCAGGAGTTCTTGAGACGGCGAGATAGGGACGTGAGCGCGGAACAGGAGGAGAGTGAGTCTGGCGCCGACTCAGAAGCTGAGGACAACTCAGATGCAGCACAAGCACATGATGAGTCGCAGCAGCTGAAGCAGTGCAAACGCGAGAGGCCGAACGAGGAGTCTGAGAAGACACAATCTTCTAAGAAATATCGACTTGGGGAGGCTGTGAAATTTGAGGCGAATGCGGCATTAGCCTCACCACGCCACAAGCTGCAGCAAAAGCACCTGCAGCAGCCGCAGAAGCCAGAGGCCAAGCCTGACGCACAAGCCCCAGGACTTTCATCCTCCGGGAATGCAGTGCCTGCATCTGAAAACCTAAAAGGGAAGGCTAAGAAAAACCGGCAGGGGCGTTCAGTGAAATATGAAGAGCAGGAACCGCCTCAGCAGCAACCGCACCAGTCGCAGCAGCTGCAGCCGCATCAGCCGGACTTCAAGCCGCTTCCGTTGTCACGGCTTATCCGCGCGCGATTAAGAGAATACCAGGCTGAAGGCGTTGACTGGCTCTTTCGCTTGCACCGCGCAGGAGCTAATTGCATTTTAGCGGATGAGATGGGTCTGGGGAAGACAATCCAAACAATTGCCCTTTTAGCTAAGATGGCATTGGAGATGGGCATTTGGGGCCCTCACCTGGTTGTCGTTCCCACAAGTGTGCTTGAGAATTGGGAAATGGAGTTTAAGAAGTTTCTTCCCGGATTTCGCGTGCTGCTGTACTACGGCTCTGCTGCTGAGAGGCAGAGGAAGAGACAAGGGTGGACTCGCAAGCATGCCTTCAATGTGTGTATTGTGAGTTATGCAACTGCTGTTAAAGACGCAGCTATCTTAAAAAGGAGAGAATGGTACTCTATGGTCCTTGACGAAGCTCAGAACATCAAGAATTTCAGCTCAAAGAGGTGGCAGACCCTTTTAACTTTCAACTCCCAGCATCGGCTGCTCCTCACTGGAACGCCACTGCAGAATCATTTGCTAGAGCTGTGGTCTCTTATGCACTTTCTTATGCCCACTCTCTTCTCATCCCACGAAAACTTCAAAGAGTGGTTTGACAGCCCACTGACAGCGGCCATAGAACAGTCGAGGGTGCAGAGGCACCAGAGGTTGGTGGCGAAGCTCCACCAAGTCCTCCGCCCTTATATTTTAAGGAGACTTAAGAAGGATGTGGAGAAGCAGATGCCCAGCAAGTATGAACATGTAATCAGGTGCGAGCTAACCCGCAGGCAGCGCTGCCTCTACGACGAATTCCTTGGATCGCGAGCCGTGCAGGGGACACTGGAACAGCAACAATACAGAGGCATGATGAACGCTTTAATGCAGCTTCGCAAGGTCTGCAACCATCCGGATCTATTTGAGGCCAGGCCAACCAGAACACCTTTGGGGACCGAGGAGTTTGGCACGTTAGACAGAACTATTCCAGCAGCAGTCTGCCTTTGGCTGCAGGAGCCCTGGTGCCTTTCACCAGACGGGGTGATCCAGTAAGCGGAGGATCTTACCATCAGTTTTCACGAGCCCAGGGTGTTTTCTTGAGATGCTGAGTTGCGGTTAGTAGGAGCTCTATTTTTGTTTCTGTTGCCTAGCGCCTAACAAGGCTTGCTCTTTCTTGGCAGATATCTGTGTGTGTGTAGAGGTGTCATGAGAACTTGACAGGCGTGCTGCTGCTACATCGTGTTGCGCAGGCGCTTGACGGGGCCACTGACGTCGATGTTGCTGAGAGAGGCACATTGCAGCAAGTGGGCGGAGCTGGCGGCAGAGGAGCTCTCGGGTTCCTTGAGGCCTCTTTTTGGTTCCCCTCCAGCCTTTCCTGAATCGGAAGAGGCTTTTGACATTTCCAATCGTAGCAACACGGACAGGGAAAATGAAGCGCAAGCAGAGGCGTTTCTCGCTGCCTTCGACCTGAAAGTTCTGAAAGACCCATTTTGTTTATCTGTTAAAGATATACCGCCCCCGACGTACATGCCAATTCTTCTGAATGGGCATCAAGCTGCAACTATGGAGCAAGCCGGAGCAGAGGTAGCAGCTGCAGGAGCTCCCACTCAGCATCAGGCAGCAAGTGTCCCACAAAGTGGGCAGTGGACAGGCCATGACTCGTGTGACATTGGGATAAAGCACTTGCAGCAAGATGATCAGCACATGCACAACGCCGAAGCTGGGAGCACTGCTTCTCCAGGTGATTTGACGGGCTTCGCTTCATGGAGATCCCAAGAGGAGGCACAACAATGCCAGCAGTTGCTTCAGTGGGGCCCCAAAGGCTTGATTGATGGCAGTTGGTTTTTAGGAGGGGCATTTGGTCCTGCAAGCATTCCAGACATAAGCGGTGTAATGCGGGCGAAACAGCGTGAGATGGAAGAAGCGGAACAGCCTCTAGATGACGTGCTGCCTTTGCCTCTCAAATTCCTGCAGTGCCAGGCTTCCCTGGAGCTCAGTGGAGATGATGATCTGACACCGCAAGACAGCGGAGTGAGTACATCAGTTGGAGGGGGAGTCTGGCAACTGACAGCTGCAGAAGCTGCCTTTGAAGGAAGCGGAATAGGCCAGGGAGCCTCAGTCCCATCTTCGCGAGCTGTTAGGAGCCGCTGGCACTATCTGTTGCAAGGGACTTACGACCGGCTAACTGGGCTTCCTGTAATACCCAAGAGACTGCCAGAAAACGGCATGGCGAGTGCCGCAGCGCGCGCAGCAAGACAGCGCCCCTGGTGCCAGAGGCAGCTCAAAGGTGAATTGCTTTCTCATATTTTTCAGCACTCCAGACCGCCTTCCCCTGCCGATAGCCAGCCGTGCAAAAGCAGTGGCATGCAGTCGTTTCCATACATCCACAAAGAAACCAGCACGCAGAATCTGACAGTAATAGCTGCAAGCGCCAGTGCTATTTGCTCTCTTTGTGAAGGGAAACAGTGCTTTACATATTCCTGTTAACAGCCGTGTCTTGAGGCGTTTTGCTCTCTAGTAAAGCATGTAGTGTGGGCTTCGCGTCCATGTGAGCCATTGTGTCTTGCGAAATTTGGCATCTGCAGTCAGCATGGCATGCTTTTGCTGGACTGTGGGCTGTGTGCTTCCATTTTTGCATAGATGCAGCTGCCTCTCGAAAGGCTGGGGAGGCGGGTCGCTTTCGCTTTCTTTGTTACCTTCATTTCATGAGTCAGCTCTCTCCCGGAATCCATCTAGGGGCAGACGGCCGCCGGTTTATCCGGGAAATGGTTCGTCGTGGCGCCACATATCCGCCTTTTTATGTGTACAATCAGGTGAGCACTCACTACCTTATAGCAAGCGCATTGCTATCCTTCGTGCTACTGTAGGTTAAAGCGTAACGCTCTTGGATGCAGTACCTCTTGTCTCAGTTGTGCATTCATTCTGAAGGATGCCTTTTAGGCAGAAACGTTCCCTACATTTTAACAAATTTCTAAGGTCCCCCTACACAATATTGGTGCCGTGTCCTGTGCACTTGCTCTTTCACGTTTGTACATGCATTTTCCAAGCCCACGAATAAGAAAGGCATGTAAAAACACCCATCCCGGCACATACAGATAAATACGTTCACGTATATTTATGCATAGCATGCAAGCGTGCCCCTCGACTGGAAAAAACAGTCCGCAGTTGCAGTTTTTCGCCTCTTGGCCCGTGTAGCTTGCGACATTTTCTTTCCATGACCTGAACTGAAGTGTTGTGTCAACGCTCCAGAGTTCTAACTCCGCGATGCGATAAATTTCAATCCAGATACGATCTACTGAAGACTACTTTCGCCTGACCTCCTACAGTTCCTCCCTTTTCCCGACCCCGCCTGAAGTTTGCCAACGTCTCATGCCGCTTCTCAGTGTTGTCACCTGCGTCTGCTGGCCTCGGGTCCGCACGCAGCCACCTCGTGTATAGTACGTCTCTTCCCCTCTCTGCGCTTAGCCTGTGTGATTTAGTCAATGAGAATTGGCACTTACTTTTGTCGTTGCTTCTTCACAAAAGAGTTGTTCCTTAACCCATTTCCATTAGTACTTTCACGAACTAGTTGCCTAGGGGGTCGCTCGTTCCCTGCTCAACTATGCATACTTCTGCGAAATTTGTTTATCTCACAGCTTGAGAGGTGCTGGAGGTCAGACTGCGCGGGCGTCTTCTCTTCACACCCTAGGAGCGGCTGCCTTCACGTTGTTAGAGGGTTGTAGACTGAGAGAGCCAATTTTGCGTCGGGAGCACCCACCCACATACGGACTAAGATGGGGTTCTGCACATGGAGCGCAAGAGAACATATCCACGGCTGTGGACTTCCGCGCGGCGTACACTGCACAGTTGCAGAAAGGCACTGCCGACGACGATACAGGAGTTGTTCTGGGCCGGCATTTGATGCATGTTCCTGCTTGCTACTGTGTCGCGGGCTCCCGGCCAGCGCTTTGTCCTGAAAACGATTATTACAATGAACTCCTTGCTGGCCCTTCTAAACCCCAAAGCTTTATCCTCTGCCCGCACAGCGAAATAGACTCTAGCGTAAGAGAGACATTGGCACGTATGGAGTGTATTTTTCCTCCAAAGCAGCTTATTCAGGATGACTGTGGGAAGCTAATCGCCCTGGTAAGTGTAGGAATGCCTATGAATCGTGAAATGATTAAGTCAAGACTGAAGCACGATGTACAACCACTTGAGATGTCCAAATGGCGAAAATTGACGGAGCGCTTTTGCAAACCGCAGAATAAGAACGCTCTTCTTTGCAGTCTTTTGTGCTTGACTGGCTTTGCAGGCTGAGCTACTTCACAAGCTTCGAGGAGGGGGTCATCGCTGCATCATCTTCACTCAATTTAGTCGGATGCTGGACATTTTAGAGTCCTGGATTAACTATCAAGGCTTTGCCTATCTGCGACTAGACGGCTCCACGAAGGTACGAAAGGAGGCAGCACCTGTCATCTCTTCAGTTGTACAAGCAACATTGTTCTAGTCCATGTAATGAGCAGTGAGCAGTGTGTTTCCCAGCGGGTGAGTGCAACCGCTTACCATTTAAAACAAAGGCAGTGTTTTGCGTGGCTGGGCGATGACAGGTTGAGAACCGTCAGCGTCTTGTCAACCAGTTCAACACAAATCCGCGCATCTTCCTGTTCATTTCGTCAACTCGTGCTGGGGGCGTAGGCATAAACCTCACAGGTGCAGACACGGTCATTTTTTATGATACTGACTGGAACCCAGCTATGGATAGACAGGCTATGGATCGGTAAGATTACAGGAGCAAATCAAGTGCCAAAATCCACACGTAGAATGACAGAACAGGAACGACGGCAAATTTTGCGTAAAACTACAGGTCCATGGATTTAGTCAAAAGCAAAGTGCATCTCGGCAGCCTCCCTGTGGCTTCATTTCTAGTAGCAGTACAATGGGAGCAGCAGTTGTTTGGGTTTGATTTACTACCTTCATAAGTCGTTTTTTGCACCGTGCAACTCGCAGGTGCCATCGAATCGGACAAACGCGAGATGTGCATATTTACCGCCTGGTCTGCGCACATACGATAGAGGAAAACATTTGGCGCAAGCAGCTACAGAAACGACTTCTTGACGAAATTGTCGTAGACCAGGGCTCGTTCACCACAACAAATGCGGCGAAAAAATTGGGTAGACTTGAAGTCGGCGACCAAAAAGGCTCTGACCTCCAAGAGACGGAATGGTTTTCCAATGCAAATACACTCAAAGAGCTTCTTACGGTGAGTTTAGTGACATAACTCTTGGCCTGAAACCGAAACAGGCTGAATAAAGTGCGTATGCATCCATGGCAAGAAGAAGGCGTAGCAAGAACTGAGCCTGTTGTTTGAATTCCTCATGTATGCTACCGTACGCCATGAAAGTATTTTCTCAGCCGCACGCCTTTTTTATCTTGCTTTGCTCGATTGCGGCTTGCGGATTTACCAGGCAAAGCAGGAGCAGACGGAGGACTTGTACATAGATCGTGTTCTTCACGAATCTGCGACAGAGACAGCCCAAGCGTCACTAGCTCCCATACGAGGAAAGAGTTCCGTTTATGAACTAGCTATGGATGAAGTGGAGGATGTGGAGGATAGAGCAGCCCTCAAGCAAACAGCAAAGGAACAGAAAACAGTCCAGCAGGAAATGAGCGACGTAAGCTGCCAGCCTTCTTGCAAGAGTCCTCTCTGTCTCACGTATTGACTGACCGATTAGATTCAATTGATGCTGACACATTGAAGGATAGTTGTTTGTGAACTCTGAGTTTCTGCAGGATTTTAGAGACGAAAACCCGGATGCGGTGGATGAAGTGACGGCAGCCCTGAACGAATTGCCGGCGCTCGCTACATATTGCGTCAGATTCCTTAGTGACAATAAGAGCGATACCCTTATCGCGCAAATAGAGCGTTTTAAGGTGAGACGCGAGGCTTTGTTCTTTTTGTCCCACCGAAGCTGGAGTCAGCTCGTTGCTGTGTTTCAGACACGCCACGTAACGGGACGTTCAGCAGCGCAGAAACTTGCCTGCCACAATGTTTTAAGGGATATGCAAATGACGTAGACCCTCAAGCTGCATCTGCTTGGTCGGGTGTACCCTGCTTTTTTCAGGCTCAGCTGGAGGGCCAAAGGGAAGAAGGTAGAGAGGGAGAACTCGGAGGGGCAACAGAGAGCGCTTCTGCTGCAGACGGAAACGAAGTTGAAGACACCGGCAGTGAAACATCTGCAGCGTGGGAAAGCGAACTCGAGGAGGAGGACGACGCCGATGCTGGCGAAAATTAGTGAATTTCCTAGCTTGTACACTGAAGTAGGGAACAAAGACGACGGACTACAGAGGCCAAAGGCAACAGTAGCACAACAAAATGAGAACGCCTCAGATTTTTACAGGACTCGTAATCGTGCACTGGCGGTGGTTTGTGTGTTTCCTCGCTCAAGTGTTGCAGATTCATTTTGGTGCTCATGTTTTTCGTGGTCCTTAAGATTTTGTTTAGGGTTGAAGGGATCCTCTGCCTGTGCCGCATGCCACACGAGGGCGGCTCTTGAGCGCGACGCATCTGGTCGTCACTCTAGAAATGCATACCCATATTTATATTCTTTCAGTTCTGGCGCTTCTAGCATCTGCAGTGTTTGTTTACAAGCAGCCGCTTCTAATGGGATGCTTCAGAAACCCTGAAGGGCTGCAGTTGATTTCCTGGTGGCTCCAGACATTGGGTGGTTCCCAGATTCACCCACAAAGCCAAACGAAGCCTCTAAATTGTTTTCATTTCACCTAGTTGTCTGCGGGATTAGCTTTTCCGTTGCTTGCTGGCACAATTCTTCCCATAGATTCACTGCAGGCGCACTTCATGGCGTGTGATTCTCTGATCAACACAGCGAACAGGTGCCCCCAACTATGCGGAGTGGTCGCTCAGCTAGGCCTAATTAAAGGAACAAACTAAGAGCAAGAACCACGCAGTCGTTGAATTCGTGGAGCCGTTCAGCTAGCGACTACCAGCGGATGGTATCTCATGATTACAACTTGTTCAAATTGTTTCGCGCTACTTGTCCTTGTTCAAATTGTTTCGCGCTACTTGTCTTTGTCAATGTACTCATCGCCGCAAATCTTCGTCAATTTGTAACGAGGACGCACACATTACGTCCATAAACTCGAAGTTTGTTTCGCACTGCCATTTCCGGCAGGTAAGCGCCAAGGATGATTGATGGCCTGAAGCCTTCGGTCAAAGACCCATGGAACAGGCCCAACACAGTAACATAAAAAGTCATTTGTTCGGCGAACTCACGCACAGCGAAAGCAGCACGCGCGATTCGCACCAAGACTGAAACACAATAGGCCCAACTGGAAGAGCACGGTGGCCTGCTGCTACTCCCGTGTCCTCCCAGTCCGTCTTGGCTTCGAATGTGTTCCCAAGTCCTGGCCACGGGCTGTGTGGCTGCGGGTTGCATGGTGACCTTCCTGAGTTGTACTTGTCCTGTAGTGCACGCGGCCCACAGGCTCCGGCGACAAAGAACGCGCCCGCGCCCCGTGGCCTGCACCACCTAAAGCCCTCAGTCTGCGGCCCGCTCTGTGGGGGTGGCGATCTACAGGAGGCGAGACAGAGAGAGATCGAGTTCGGGAAGAAGAGTGCGACGAAGACCTCCCAGGGGCAGGCGATGGAGCTTCCAGGAAATTCGAACCATCTGCAGGCGGGCTCTGGTCCATCAGATACACGCGGCTCCTGTATTCCAGCTGCTTATGGCGGCTCTGGCAGGGCGCCTTCCCCTCAACGATGACTGGGGGAGGCCCGCAGTCAGGGCACTCGTTCACTGTAAGAGCTGCGAACTCTGTGGAAAGTGGCTTGCACCGCTCTGGTGCAGGGGCACTGTTCGGCTCATAAGGGTTTCTCATTATGAAACTGTTCGACCCCTTATGCAGTTCAGAAAGACTGTGCAAGCGCTACATATACACCCGACGCGCTTGCCGGCAAATGGTGTTGGATTTCCAGCTTCCAAAACGCTGGCGTGGCAAGCAAAGTCCTTCTGGATCATAATGCTGCCACGAAAAGTCCATGGAACAAAGCCACGTCGGTGCTTCCTGGAGAGCGAGGGCACTTGGAGAGGGAACACAAGCTCAGACGGTGGCTGTTGCGTATGGCGCAACCGTGGGCACCATGGATGCACCCAGGGTTGTGCCCACCTTATATAAATACCAGATACTGAACAAGACCGACGGCTTTCCACGAGGAACGCGTGGTCTACCTGTTAGCCTGCCATGCGGCGATGCTCAAATGAGTAGCTTCGCGGAGAAATCAGCACTTAGGTGGAAACGGCTGAACCATTCTCAGCCTTGTTTGCCTTCATAACCCTTTTCCAATGAAATAAATGCATTTAAGAGTCCTTCAGGGTCATCTCGACAGAGCGGGGGGGTCTGGGTCACGCAGTCAACAGCAGAAGTCGCCGGTAGGCTACCTTAGACCGCATGCCTTCATCTGCAAGACGCATCCTAGAGAGCGCGAGATCCTATAATTCCTTCAGTTTTCGAAGATATTTAATCAGTTTTATTTCAGTCTTAAGCATTCCAGTATATCCTGCGTGTGGCGGGGCGTATAATCCTCACCGCTGGGCAGCGTAGAGCTGGAAACCTAGCCTTTGGCAGTCACTTTTAAGATTTTCCTGCAAACGCTTTATAATTGCACAGTGTGTCAAGTTAATCCGCTGTGTAAACTATGATTTCCAGCAGCAACAAAGGCCGCAGCAAATCCCATGCATCTCGTGGGTTCTAGTTGGTACACACCGTAGTCGCTAAACCCTTAGTACACCTGTGCACCGACACAACTCGCCGTCACTGAATTTTCCATCCTGAGAAGCACATCGCGCTCTAAGAATGCTTATTTGATAATATAGTGTTAAATTACTCATAGAAAGGCTACAAACTGGCGGGAATACTAGCCAAAGCAATAGCCAGGCAGCTTCTTCGTCTAGCCTGCGGGCACTCTTCTGCTACATTTGCTGCTCACAAGGCTCCTCCTTGAGCACTCTGCAAATGAGCACAGGCAGCTGCGAGGCGCAAGAGCCAACATATTCAGTTTTAGATTTCAGCGGCCGCAGCGGGGGTGTCATCGTGAAATACCCCCACTTGTTCTGCCAAAATATATAGAAAAGCCACCAAAATGTAACACCCCTGTTCGCAGAAAAACCCGCCAGTAGATCGGAACTCGTTCGCGTCACGTGAAAGGCATCACACACTACACAATGATTCATAGAAGATAGCGCGGTAGGAGGTAGTGAACACGGAAGCAGTGTGCTCTGCATGCACTTGCCAAACTTCTGTCCCGCAAACACAACTTCCCGCGCCTCCAAGCCAAAGCTGAGACGGCTGGACTCTTGCTTTTTTAATTGGAAGCCAAGCTATCAGGACGCTGTCACTGACAGGGCCAGCTGAGCTTTGTACCAATATTTTCCCACAGATCCACGGGAACATTCCAGCTTGTAAGCTGTAGTGCACAACTGGGGAGTTTTCGCCACGATGCAGCTTGCTGATTCCTGAAATCCACGACGGCCTGGCTAGAATTAAATAGACGGGATAATTGCACGTCTCAAAGCTACAATTTTATGCAACTGCTTAATTCTTGAGGAGCAACAAGTCCAAGTTTCCTTTGATTTGGGCTGACGGGGAGCGGGCTAACAACCAGAATGAGGTTTCCATTGCCCAGGCGTCTGTGAAAGAGGCCACCTTCGGCGTAGTCCAGTAGTAGACGATAAGACAATCCAAAATTGCAAAGTAAAAAGACATGAAAGTGATTTGGTACGAAAGAAAACCAGACTGGACGATGCAATCCTTTTAAATAAATGGCCCGCTCCATATTTCACAACTTCGCATTGAAAACGGCAATACCCACTACGGCTTCAGACAACTTAAAAGGAGAACTACTTTTTAATCGAGTACACTTGCTTTATAAAATAGTTAATGCCGTAGACACGTGATTGGTACTAAGAAGTACGCAAGAGAACATCGCTTCTCAGGTTTGCGGAGAGCCTCACGTACTTGTTGCAGGACACTGCCCGCCATATGGGAAGTACCTCGCCTGAATTACCTCATCAGTGCATGAATATTGGGCCTTTAAAAGACTGAAGAAGCTAAAGCTTAGTGGTTTCTACGTAGCAGGCACTGTGGACTCGAGCTAGCGATCCGCTGCAGGTCCTCATCGTGGCTACCGCACAAGCTTATCGCGTTGTATATGAAAGCTAGCATTTAACTTATAAACGAGTTCTACTCTGGAAGGGCTATACTGTGCTATGTGAGGTTTTCAATCGCAGGCCAAGAGCGTCTCAGACAAGCCCGAGTCAACGACTGCTGGACAGCCACAAGCTCAGTGCCTTTTCTAACTATTTCTTGTTTCGACGGAAGACTCCATGTAATATTTTGATGTGTATTGGTGTAACTCTGAGACTGGGGGAGTATAAGGGTGCAAAGGAACAAGAGCATCAAAGGGCTGTAGGCAGCGCCTGGTGGGCAGCTCTCCTGTTCTCCTTCGTTACTCGTTGTCGTGAGAGTCTGCCGCACAAATTGTGTACGTTTCAAAATGGAAATTGACTCACATTTAAGCAATAAGTGGCGTTGCGAACAAACACATATTCTTTGCAGCTTTCCTCAAGCCCGAACCGTCAAGTGAGGAAGCGAGCGTGAGACCGCTGCCCACTATCCAATTGAAAGAACTGCATCGATGACCGCGCTGTTGCAGATTTTGTAGTGCATTTGACTCCTTTTCGAAGAACTTATTGGCGTGAATACGTAAAGGAACACATTTGCTTTCCTGAGAACTTTTCTCTGCACGCTGCCAACCGTCGATTCGCCCGAGGTAGCTGCCACGCAACTGCTCCAACTGGCGAAGCCCTGCTGACCGGCGTCTTCTTTCCTTCCAAAAGAACGCATATTTGTTGCCTCCCTTTAAATTTGCCTTGCAGAAGCGTTTCAAAATGAAAACCCCGGCGGACTGCTCCGTTGTGCCCATTGGGCGAATACCAGTGGACAGTGCCTTCAATGGCCATCCCCGTCGGCGAGCTCACCACGGAGGAGCAAAGCTGAGTTCAAAAGGTGAAGAAAGGAAAAAGCCTTCCATCAAAGACATATTTGGTCTCACACCGCTGGACATTTTTGGAAAGCCTTCAACAGATGACGCGCCCGGCCCGGTAAAGCTGCTTCAGAACCTAGTCGGCACAGCCACCAGCGCAAGTTCTCGCGAGCAGAGAGCTAATCCTCCAGAAATCCAAGAGTCTGAAGCTCAAAATGCAGCTAACCAGCCCTATGGGCCCCAAGGTAGCGGGCTAATGCCACCAGAGGCGCACCCGAAGCCGCAAGTGCCGCAGATAGACACGAGGACCAACCTTGAGAAGTATCTCAGCATGAAGATGCAGGAGGCCAGAGGTCACATGCCGATGTACCCAATGGTTGGTTCAGTTCCTCCTGTGTATCAACAGAATGCCTACTTCGGCCAGATGCAGATGCAGCCAAGTGCAGGGCCTCAATTCGCCTATCAGCCGCAGTTCGCAAGCCCAGCCCCCCCCGTAGGAGGCTTCCCCGAGAGCTGGGAAGGCCACGGAATGGCCGCTGGCTGCGTTCCTCCGTGCCACTTTGAGAATCCGGCGAGTTATCCGGAACAAGTGGCCCCCGCGGCGTATTCGCGGGCCCCCTCTCTCCCGCACAGCCGCAGCGCTTCTGAACAGAACTGCATCCCAGAAGCTTTACAGTTTGACTCCCCTCCAGCGTGGTTTCAGCACAAGTCCTACATGCCGCAGGTGCCGCAGTTCAGCCACATGACGGCCCCCGTTCCCGGGGCCCCCTTCCACCCCGGCTTCAGCTACGCCACAGACTTCAAGTACTACTACAACTATTACCCTGCAGAGGAATACGCAGGCGAGATCGACGGAGGCGACGCAGCGGCGCAGGAGGAGGCGGTGGCTCGCGAGCAGCAGCGCGCCGAGGAACTCGCGGGCCAGCAGGCTGACAAGCCGCAGGCCATCAAGCCGATCATCACTTCCAAGCGGCGCCTGGAGTCCGGAAAAGCAGTTCCACTTTAATTTCAAGTTACAAGTGCCTTGGGAGCTCTTGACTTGCGGGAGTTGCTGCGGGCGCTCGAGCCGGCAAGACCCCCAGAAAGCTCCCAGCTGCAGCTTCAGGTGCACACTTCTTGACCCACGAACCTTCGAAGTAGACCTTGCTTTAGCCGCACAAAGTTTCGAACTCAACGACAGTTCACTTCTGCAAAGTTTGGCGTCTTCTCACGCATCATGAAGGGCTGTACGAGCCGCCTCAGGCGGCATCAATGCGGAACTTTTAATGCACAGCTTTTGCTAATTGATGCTCAAGACCCATCCCCTTTAATAGCTGCTGACGTATTCCTACCTTAGGCAATTGCTGCAGACCCAAGCAAACTCAGTCCTGCACTTCAGCTATCACCTCGCGCTACCACGTAGGGCTCTTCTTGCATGCACTTGTTGACATATTTTGTTCAAGTTCCCAAGTGTACTAATCGCGCAGCGCAATATCTTGCACGTTTCCTTAAACATCTTCTCGCCTAGCCATTGAATATGCTGAAACACCCGAAGGTATGCTTATAGTGTATACTCTTAAACGCCTCCAACTCTCCCAAGGGAAGGACGTCCACGGAAACCTTATCACTGTTGGCTTCTCATTTTCTCTATTCTGTCTGTCTTTCCGGAACTCATTGAAACTACACTGCATGAACTAAGGAACACTGCGTCTCGGCTTTTGCAAAGAGCTACAGTGGCACGGCAGTGGACTTGCATCCTAACTCGGACCCCAAGCGTTGGAGATTGAAGCCATGTTTAAATGTTTCAAGATCTGTTCAGCGCAACAAACTGTGTTTTCGTCGTTTTCTGCGAAAAGTTTCCCTTGGTTTGTGCTGTCTACTGCCCAATGCTGTGCCCGAAAACAACTGTAACGGGGCACACCGCTGTGCTGGCTCCGCTCCACGAGGGAGTGGAGCTCCATATACACATTTTGCGTATCTTTATAGTGCATGCACTCGAGTTGTGCGGCCGCGAAGGAGCACCGGAGTGCAGTCGCACGCACACTTGAGCGCAGTCGTACATCTCGTGCAGGCGAATCTGCATGCGACCCGCGAGCAATAAAAAGGCACCTGTTGACAGCCCCCAGCAACGAGAAAGCAGCAGTCGATATTCCCCCCCAAAATTCAGATCTAAGACAGGTGTCAGTGTGGCTGTGCCGAAGTCCTGTGTTCGCTGCAGCCGCCGCCAGCTGCGGGCTCAGCTGCTGCGCGGGTGGCCGCGTTCTGCGGCGCCGAGCCCCAGCTGGCTGGAAACAGCGTCTCGAAGACTCGAATTAATGAAACAGCACCTCCGCAAGATTTCAAACAATGCACAACACAGCGCTGCGGACTAAAATCCCATTCGTGGCCAGACCTATGCGTCAGTCGATGTCGTCGAAGTTGCCGCTTTCCTCGTAGCTCGTTTGCTGCTGCGCAGCAGAAGAAGACTCTTCCACCTGAACTGAAAAATGCGTGGGGGCCTCCTCTTGCTTCTGCGAGTTAGCTGCTGCTGCTGCTGCTGCTGCTGTCGGCGTCGTCGCTGCTGCTGCTGCTGCTGCTGCTGCTGCTGGGTCCGCGAGACCGAGCAGCCGCGGCCCGTGCTGCGCCAGCAGCGCCCTGCCGTCCTCCGTGAGCGCAGCCTCGCCCAAGTGCGTCTTTATTTCCTGCAACATGAGGCAAGAAGCAGTTAAGTTTTCATCGTTGTGTTTGACGCTGAGTCCCGCGGGGTTTCCGAACTCGCGCGGGACGTACTTGGGCTCCATGAAGCGCGTGAGCTGACTGCCCTTGGCAATGGCCGCGATCTTGCTGGAAGGAATGCCCATAATGCGGGAAGCTATGGAGGGAAGAAGGGGCGCAAGAAAAGAAGGCACATTAACTATCACGAGGAGTTCAATGTGAGGCAAGTAGCGCTGCAGGAAGACCCGCAGGATGGGGTCGTAGTCCTTGATGAAGCGGGTGACTTTGGAAATGACTTCGGGAAAGCGGAAGGAAAAGAGGTTCTGAATGCCCAGCATGTTCTTGACGATGTTTGCGTCCACAATGCGCATGTGTTTCTTGACTTTGTACTTCTCCAGCATCAGATCCAGCAAGTGGAACTCGACGTCCATCACCGCCCGCGCCTCCTCCACTGTCCGCAGCTCGTTCAACATGTCGTAGCAGACCAGACTTCCGCGCAGAGAGAAGCCGTGGTAGTGAATAGTCAACATGGGATGCACCTTTTCGAAGAGTTGCAGCGCGGCTCTGCGGCGCGGCTCCGAGAGGGGGGGGGGGGGGGACCCCCG